CCCCCAAAACCCCAAAACCCCGCAGTAGAAGATAATAGTCTAGTCAATTTTCTTCGAATTAAATTAAATTCTAAATGATAAAAGTTTTAAAGTTAATTTATTATCAAGGTTTTAATTTAAATACATATCAGTTGAGAAATTTTTAGTTTTTTTTCAAAGAATTCCAGTTATTCCCTCTATAATAACATATTAATGCTGTCTGTAGATATCTGTAGAATAACTCAATTAGTAGAATGCCATTTTATCATTCCTAGACATGATTAGTTCCATTATTGAGCATTTATTTTAGAGTAAGAGAGAAGCAAGTTTTTCTATTTGATATCAAAACAAGCGAAAAATTGCTAATAAATCGAGTGCAGTCTTCTGTGAAGTAAATATCTTTGCTTTTTCCCTGAAACTCCCAATCTGCTTGGAACAGCTTTCTTGACTCTTAGTATTCAAGCTAGAAGTAAAGATTAGGATGAAGAGTAAGAGGACTTGCATCTTTACAGCTGGTAAATTAAAGGTATCTTCTTATTCCTGCTGAAGTTAAAAACACAGAAAGTAATCAATTGGACTGCAATGATCAGGAAAAAGAAAGTGATAGGGAGGAAAAATAAATAATTCTCTGATAATGGCAATGAAGAGAAGTTTACCCTAAGTCTAGAATTTGAGCTAAACTAGGAATACAAACAAGTCTTTGAAAAGTGCTACTCTAGCAATCGTAGCGTTTGTATGAGCGGGGGAGTGGGCTCAGCAATAAACATTGATTTTCTCGCTGAATGTATGAATCATTGATATATTTCTTTCCAATTTAAACAAGGCATAGAATTCTTATTTACTTTTGATAAATAGTTAGTTGTATTCACCACTCAGAATTTGGGAACTTAAACTGGGATCATTAGCTTACCGTAGCATTTCACTGCATAGTATTGTAGTTGAAACTAGAAAACCTTTGGACGTATGCAACTTAGAGCATGATACCTAGGATAATCTTCATGATGGATGAAGTGAATAAAGTTGACCTAAATTCATTTTTTATCTCAATCATCAACGAAATTCTTAATTAATAACCTACCATGTAGGAGATCCATAACAAGCTACTGCTCACACATATAAGGGTTGATCTCAAACCTTATAATATAATCAATAAAGCTGCATAAAACTTTATTGAGTGACAAAATGATTATGCCACAAGATTGATAGAGCTTGCAAAATAATAAAAGATTAATAACATATAAAAAGTGGAGACCTCATTATTCAGGGGCATAAAAAATTACTCAAACAATTCATTTTTTGGAACCCTATCCTTTTTGACCAATTGGGAAGAGTGAAGGAGGAAATAAGCAATCCATTATTTGGTCTTTAAAAGGATATAATGGTTGCTGAAATATATTAAAACTTTGACTTAGGACCATTAGTTATCGATGATTTGTAGAAATGTATTAATCATGAAGAGGAATATCATCTTTTTTAGCATAATACGCGTTGAATATGCTAAATAAGAGGTTTTGCAATTATAGGACACCTCAGCTTGTCCATTCTTTTAGTTTTGCTTAAGAACTTGGATTCACTTAGTTGATTTTATCTATAAGTTTTCTGTGCATTTATCATTAAAATGATGGAGCCTCTCCAAATTTTATATTTAGTTTGCAAATCATGGAGGGTATCTTAGCTAGGTTATCTGCGTATTCCGCTCCAATCTTTAATGAAATGAAAATTGAGAAGCAAGGTTTTCCACATCTAAGTTAGAGTGAGTTAGCCAATCTCATCTTGAAACCTTAGTTTAAGATTTTGAATCTTGTTTACCTTTCACAAAACTCTTCGCATTAGTTTATTATTTATCTGAATTTTCTGATCTAAATATACCTTAATGAAGATATAAGGTAAAGGGAGTCTCCTAAGAAGATTCTACTAACATTTGAGTCAGATCTATGGAAAATGTTTCAATCTTTACGTGCTTTAATGCAATTCTAGTCTTCAGTTTGTTTATGTAAGGTTTTTTTATATTAGGGTGGAAGCTTAATGAGGCATCATTTTCAAACATCAATGAGTAATTAAATAGCTTCTACAATACAAAACTGAAAGACTACTCCGTGCAAAATATCATTAATAACTTGATAGTATCCTATTTCGCTTATAGATGAGTAGTATAAATATCAGTAGTGTTATATTCATTTAAAATCTAGCTTGATCTGTTGCTATTTAAGATCAGAATTTCTAGGCTTTATGTTTTGTCTATTACTAAATAGTAATAAACACGTGTTGATCATAAAAAAAGAAAGGAATCACTCCTCCAATCTTATGATTTCACTTCGAGAAAAAAAAATTATTGCTTCTTTGGCATGGTTGTCTTTTCTCATCACTCAAGCCTTTTTTTCAATTATTAAAACAGCACATACCTCAATCATTGCAAAAAGACTATAATAACCCCAGTATTATCATGTAAAGCAAGTCTCTTATATTTTATTTTCAATTATTCCTTTATATAATTGTAGAGTTCGTAAGAATTACCTTTTCCGCATACAATCTTGTACATTTCTTTTTATAAAACTTTAGCATTATTCAGATATTCTTCCACCTTCTACAAACCTTTTATCTTGCCTAGTTTCATGAGATCTATCATGTATTTCTTCCTTTCGGAGCAATCATTAATTATTTTGAAGATTTCATCCTGATTATTTACCCCTTTGACAAGTGGTTTTAATTATTCATGATGCCTATAACCATATTCAAATAAAGCTATTAATTCTCCACACATGTTGTAAAACATTGTAAAGCTAAATTCAAACCATTTTTATACTAGATTCCATTCTTATTTTTTTTTGGTAATTTCTTATCGCTAATTTCTTTTTGTTTATCGTTATTTCTTTTCTGTCATTTTAATTTAGATTGTCAAAATGTTTATTTATTATTAATTAGCATGCATCTATTTATTGAATGAATTCATTCAAGAGGGGTTTTGGGGTTTTGGGGTTTTGGGG